GCGCGTGTGAGGGGAAGAGACACGGTACTGTGATGCCGACGCTGCGTTGTGAGGGGAAGAGACACGGGAGGTGTTGCGACGCGATGGGGAAGAGACACGGTAGGTGTGCGACGCGAGGGTGAAGAGACACGGTAGTCTCGTGTGCGACCGCGGAGGGGGAAGAGACACGGTTAGGTGTGCTTACGCGGGTAGTGAGGGGAAGAGACACGGTAGCCGTCGTAGTGCGACCGCGGTGTGAGGGGAAGCGCAACACGGTAGCGGTCGAGGAGGGGAAGAGACACGGTAGGTGTGCGACGCGGTGGTGTGAGGGGAAGAAGACACGGTAGACTCGTGTGCGACGGCTGGTCGGTGTGAGGGGAAAGAACACGTAGCCTCGTGTGCGACGCGAGAGGCAAGAGACACGGTTAGGTGATGCGACGCGGAGGCGGAAGAGACACGGTGTGTGGCGTACCGGTGTGAGGGGAAAGAGACACCGATAGTCGTTGTGCCGAGCGGCGTGCTGAGGCGGAAGAGGAACGGTTAGGTGTGCACGCGAGGAGAAGAGACAGCGTAGGTGTGAGACAGCCGGGTGTGAGGGGAAAGAGACACGTAGGTTGCGACGCGGGGTGTGATGGGGGAAGGAGACAGCGGTAGCGTGTGCGACCGCGGGTGTGAAGGCGGAAAGAAGACACGGTAGGTGTGCGACGCGGGTGTGAGGGGAAGAGACACGGTAGGTGTGCGACGCGGGTGTGAGGGGAAGAGACACGGTAGGTGTGCGACGCGAGGGGAAGAGACACGGTAGGTGTGCGACGCGGGTGTGAGGGGAAGAGACACGGTAGGCGTTGTGCGACGCACCGAGGGGAAGAGACACCGGTAGTGGTGTGCGACGCAGGTTGGTGTGAGGGGAAGAGACACCGGTAGCGTGTGCGATACGCGAGACGAGAACACGGTAGCGTGTGTGACCTGGCGTGCGAGGGGAAGAGACACCGGTTAGAGGGTGTGCGCGCGAGGGGAAGAGATACGTCGTAGTGTGTCGCCGACGCAGGGGTGCGAGGGGAAGCAGAACTGGATAGGATGTGCCGACGCTTGGTCGGATGTGAGGGGAAAGAGACACGTAGTCCGTGCTGCGACGCGAGGGGAAGGAGACACGGTTAGGGTGCGACGCATGGGCGGAAGAGGACACGGTAGGTGTGGCGACGCGGGTGTGAGGGGAAGAGAATACGGTAGGTGTGCGACGCGGTGCGAGGGAGAGAGACCGGTTAGGCGTGCTGGCGACGCCGGTGGTGTGAGGGCCGAAGAGACCAGCGTAGGGTGTTGACGACCGGGTGTGAGGGGAAGAGAGCCGGTAGACTGTGTGGCCCGACTGGGGTGTGAGGGAAGCAGACACGGTAGGTGTGCGACGCGAGGGAAAGAGAACGGTAGCGTTGTTGCGACGCGAGTGGGAAGAGACACGGTAGTCGTGTGGACGCGGTTTCGTTGTGAACGGGGAAAGACACGTGAGTGTGGCGACGCGAGGGGGAAGAACACGGTAGTGGTGAGACGCGAAGGGGAAGAGACACGGTTAGGGGGGCGACGCGAGGGAGAAGAGACACGGGTAGCGTGACTGCGACGGGGTGTGAAGCGGAAGAACACGGTAGGTGTGCGACGCGGCGTGTGAGGGAAGAGACCGGTAGGTGTGTGACGCGGCGTGTTGGGGGAGAGACACGGTAGGTGATGTGACGCGGGTGGCGAGAGGGGAAGAGACACGGTAGTTCGAGTGTGCGACGCGAGGGAAAGAGACTATCGGTAGGGTGTGCGCGCAGGTTATGTGCGAGGGGAGAGGACACGGAGCTTACGGTGCGCGCGGGTCCGAGGGCGGTGAGGGGAGAGAACGGGTACGCGCGGCTGCGACGCGAGGGAGAGACACGTAGCGTGGCCAGACGCGAGGGGAAGAGACACGGTAGCGTGTAAGCGACGCGGGTGTGAGGGGAAGAGACACGGTAAGGTGTGCGACGCGGGGAGTGGAGAGACACGGTAGTGTTGTGCGACGCGGTCTCAGGGTCGAGGGGAAGAGACACGGTAGGTTTGTGCCGACCGCGGGGAGGGCGAGGGAGGATCGCCACCACTGCCGCGATATGCGTGTGCCGGACCGCTGGGTGTGAGGGAAGAGACACCGGTAGCGTGTTGCGAGCCAGGGGAAGAGAGACACGTTAGCCGGTGCGACGCCCTCGGGTGTGAGAGGAGGAGACACAGGTAGGTGTGCCGACGCTGGTGTGATGGGAGGGGAAGAGACACGGTAGAGTGTGCGACGGCTGTGGGGAAAGGGGGAAGAGACACGGTAGTCCGGTGTGCGACCGGCTGTGGAGGGAAGAGACACGGTAGGTGTGCGACGCAGAGGAGGAAGAGACACTCGTAGTCGTGTGCGACGCGGGTGTGAGGGGAAGAAGACCACGGTAAGTCCGGTGGGCGACGCCGGTGCTGTGAGGGGAAGAGACACGCGATAGTGTGTGCAACGCGAGGGGAAGGACACGGGAGGTGTGAGACGCGGGTTGTGAGGGAGAGAACGGTACGGATGTGCGACGCGGACGGAGGAAGAGAACGGGTAGGTGTGCGACGCAGGGGGAAGAGACACGCGATTAGCGTGTGCGACGCCGGGTGTGAGGCGGAAGAGACCGGTAGCGTGGTGCTGACGCGGGTGTGAGGGGAAGAGACCAGGTAGGATGTGCGACGCGGCCTGACGTTGTGTGAGGGAAGAGAACACGTAGCGTGTGCGACGCGGGTGTGAGTGGGAAGCAGACACGGTAGGTGTGCGAGCGACGGGGAAGAGACACTGGATTAGCGTGGTGCCGACGCCGGGTGTGGGGGAAGAGACACGGGTAGCGTGTGCGAGCTGAGGGTGTAAGAGACACGGCTAGCGAGCGTGTGCGACGCGGGCGTGTGAGGGCGAAGAGACACGTAGGTGGCGACAGCGGGTGCGAGGGGAAGAGACACGGTAGGTGTGCGACGCGAGGGGAAGAGACACGGTAGGTGTGCGACGCCGAGAGGAGAGACGCGGTAGCGTGTGCGACGCCCGAGCGGGCAAGAGAACGGTAGGTCGTGCGACGCGGGGTGTGAGGGAGGAGACACGATAGCTGTGCGACGCGGGGTGTGGAGGGAAAAGAGACACGGTAGGGTGTGCGACCGGTCAGTCTGGAGGGGGAGAAGAGACACGGTAGTGTGCGACGCGCGGGTGTGTGAGGCGGAAAGAGACGGTTAGCGTGTGCGCGCGGGGTGTGCAGGGGAAGAGACCACGGTTAGTGTGATGCGACGCGGGTGTGAGGACAGAGACACGGGTAGGCTGTGCGACGCGAGGGGAAGAGCCGGTAGGTGCTTGCGACGCGCGGTGTGAGGGGGAGGAGACACGATAGCGTGTGCGACGGCGGCGTGTGAGGAGGAAGAGACACGGTAGACGTGTGCGCGGTCTGGGTGTGAGGGAGAGGACACGGTACACACCGCGTGCGACCGTGTGCGACGCCCGAGGGCGAGACACGGATAGGCGTGTGCGACGCGGTGTGTGAGGGAAGAGACACTGTACGGTATGCGGACGCGAACGGGACGAGAACACGGTAGAATGTGCACGCGGGTGTGAGCGGGAAGAGACACGAGTAGTGCGTGTGCACGCGAGGGACGGACATTCGGTAGTGTGTGCGACGCTGGGCTGTGAGGGAAGAGACACGTTAGGTGAGCGACGCGAGGGACGAGACACGGTAGGTGTGCGCCGGGAGGGGAAGAGACACGGTATGTGCGACGCGCGGGTGGGGCGGAGAACACGTAGGGTGTGCGACGCGAGGGGACGAGACACGTAGGTGTGCGACCGCGGTGTGCGAGGGGCAAGAGACACGTAGGGTTGCGACGCGGCTGTGGTGAGGGGAAGAGACGACGTAGTGTGTGCGACGGCGGGCTGTAGAGGGGAAGAGGACACGGTAGGTGTGCGACGCGGAGGGGAAGAGACAGCGGGTAGCTGTGTGCGACGCGAGGCGGAAGCAGACACGGTAGGTGTGCGACGCATGAGCGGGAAGGACACAGGGAGGTGTGCGACGCGGGCCTGTGAGGGGAAGAGCACACGGTAGGATTGTGCGACGCGCGGGGGAAGAGGACACGGAATAGGTCGTGCGACGCGAGAGTGGAAGAGAACACGGGTAGCCGGGTGCGACGCGGGTGTGAGGGGAAGAGACACGGTAGGTGTGCGACTGCGACGGCGGATAGAGACACGGTAGCTGTTGTGCGATCGCGACTGTCGTGAGGGGAGAGACACGGTATGCGTGTGCGACGCGAGGGAAGAGACACGGTAGACAGTGTGCGAGCGGGTGTAAGGGAAGAGACCACGGTAGGTGGTGCGACGCCGAGGGGAAGAGACACGTAAGGTGTGCCGACGCGGGTGTGACGGAAGAGACAGGTAGCCAGTTGCGACGCGAGGTGAGAGACACCGGTAGGTTCGTGTGCGACGCGAGCGGGAACGCAAGACACGGTAGGTGTGTGACGCGGTGTGTCGAGGGCAGAGACACGGTAGCATTTGGGTGCGGCCGGGTGTTGAGGGGAAGAGACACGGGAGGTGTGCGCACGCGTCAGTGTGAGGGGAAGAGACACGGTAGGTGTGTGCGGACGCGAGGGCGGAAGAGACACGGTAGGTGTGCGACGCGGAGTAGTGAGCGCGGAAGAGACACGGCTAGTGGTGTGCCGAGCGCGAGGGGAAAGGAGACACGGTACGTGTCGACGTGGGCTGTGCCGCGCAGGGGAAGGAGACACGGTAGCTTCTGTGAGCCACGCGAGGGAGGACACGGTTAGGTGTGCGACGCAGAGGGAAGAGACAGTAGGTGTGTGACGCGGGTGTGAGCGGGAACGAAGACATGGTAGCAATTCCGTGTGCGACGCGGGTGTGAGGGGAAGAGACACGGTAGGTGTGCCGACGCGGGGTGTGAGGGGAAGAGACACGGTAGGTGTGCCGACGGTGAGGGGAAAGAGAACGGGTAGATTGTGTGCAGACGCGAGGGAGAGACACGGTATGGTTGCGCGCGGGTGGAGGGAAGGGAGACACAGGTAGTGACCTAGGTGTGCGATCGCCGAGGGGAAAGAGACAAGCGTAGCGTTGTGCGACGGGCTCTTGTGCGAGGGGAAGAGACCACGGGTAGCGTGTGCGGACGCGGGTGTGAGCGCGGGAAGAGACACGGTAGGTGTGCCGACGTGAGGCGAAGAGACAACGGTAGCTGTGTGCGACGCGAGGGGAAGAGACACGGTAGATAGTGTGCGACGCCGGAAGTGTGAGTGAAGAGGACACGCGCTACCGTGTGTGACGGTGCATATGAGGCATTTTAGAGATGTCTCTTTCTTTCTCTCACTCTTTCTCTCACTCTCACTCTCTCTCTCTCTCTCTCTCACTCACTCACTCCCTCTCTCTCGTACTCGCAGCACCGGGGAGGGACCGGCGCGGCGGTGAGAAGCGCTACAAGGAAAGTCGCGCTCCGACGACGACTCCGACGACGGTGGTGGCGGTCAGTCACGGTTGCCCGGTCAGCGCTGCGTCAGCGGCTCGAGCACGGAGAGCTCGGACGATGACGACGACGAGGGGTCGGAGGGCGAGTCGGACTTCAAACCCGTTTGGTAACGGGCTGGACAGCGAGGAGGAGGATGGTGAGTGTGTGAACCTCCCCCCTCTACCTCTCCTGTGTCCCTCCCTCTGTCTTCCCTGCTGCTCTCACCATTCCCTTCTCTCTACGCTTCTTCTTACCCTCTCTCCTCTACCTTCTCCTGTTTCCCCTTCCTCTGTTTCTTCCTTGCTGCCTCTCACACCTCCCCTCTTCTCTCTACGCTTTCTTCTCTACCTCTCTCCTTCTATCTTCTTCGCTGTTTCCCCTTCTGTCTTTCCTGCTGTGCTACCATCCCCTCTTCTCTCTACGCTTCTTCTCTACCCTCTCTCCTCATCTTCTCACTGTTTCCTCCTTCTGTCTTCCTGCATGCTCTCACCCTCCCCTCTTCTCTCTACGCTTTCTTCTCTACCCTCTCCTCTACCTTCTTCCGTTTCCCTACCTCTCTGCTTTCCTGCTGCTCTCACCATCCCTCTTCGTCTTTACGCTTTTCTCTACCCTACTCTCCTCTATCTTCTCCTGTTTCCCTCTTTCTTGTCTTCTGTGCCTCACATCCCCTCTTCTCCTCTCGCATTCTTCTCTACCTCTCTCACCGTATCGTCTCCTGTTTCCCCTCTTCTGTCTTCCTGCTGCTCTCACCCTCCCCTCTTCTCTCTACGCTTTCTTCTCTACCCTCTCTCCTCTATCTTCTCCTGTTTCCCCTCTTCTGTCTTCCTGCCTGCCTCACCCTCCCTCTTCTCTCTACGCTTTCTTCTCTACCCTCTCTCCTCTATCTTCTCCTGTTTCCCCTCTTCTGTCTTCCTGCTGCTCTCACCCTCCCCTCTTCTCTCTACGCTTTCTTCTCTACCCTCTCTCCTCTACCCTCTTCCGTGTTCCCTCTTGTCTCTTCCCGCGGCTCTCACCCTCTCCCCTTCTGCACTCTGTGCTCTCCCTTCTCATCTTTTCCTTCTACGCTCTCTCTTCTATCCCTTCCATCTACATCTTCTCTTTCCTCTCTACCCCTCCCCTCTCCTTTCTCCCTCTCCCCTCCCCTCTGTTCCACGCCTCTACTCCTTTCCCCTTCCCCTGTTGACACGGGGTCATCCTACTTCTGTCATTAAAAAGGGGGTTCTGGTTGGTATCCCTCAAAACTGACCAGATTAGTAACTAAATTTAATCGAATTAAATCGAATCGATTAGAATCGAATCGAATCGAATCTTATTTAGTAATCGATCCACGTCTCTAATCCGGCACCCCCCGGCCCGCCTCCGCATTGCAGACCCGTGGCTAAACCGAAAGAAGTCGCGGCAAAAGCTCAAGGCCAAGCGCAGCAAGGACAAGGAGAAGGAGAAGAAGAAGAAGAAGGAGAAGAAGGAGAAGGAGAAGGAGAAGGAGAGGGAGGAGGAGGAGCGGAAGCGTCCGTCGCCGGAGCGGACGGAGGAAAGCATGAACGGCATCGACAGTCTGAACAGTGATAGTAACTCAGGTGCGTGTGTCAGATACTACACACACACACACACACAGACATACACACACACGCACGCACGCACGCACGCACGCACGCACGCACGTACGCACGCACGTACGCACTAGTACATTCTATACTCGGTAGTGGGTAGGTAGTTATAGCTTCACCATAAGTGGTGAAAGTGATAAACTGAGTCAAACTCCATAGTATTTATTTAGATATTTATTTATTTATACGTGTGTATGTGTGTGTCTATATATTGCGTGTGCATGTGTGTGCCTGTGGGTGCATGCCTGGGTGCGTATGTGCGTGCATGTGTGCTTGCCTGAGTGCATTTCCGCGTGCATGTGTGCATGGCACTGCATGCGTGCCAGTGCGTGCGTGTGTTTGTGTGCATGCATGCGTGGCAGTGCGTGTGCGTGCGTGCGTGCGTGCATGCGTGCGTGCGTGCATGCGTGCGTAAGTGCGTTTGTGTGCATGCATGAGTGCCAGTGCGTGCGCGTGCGTGCGCGTGTGTGCTTGTGCGCACACGCCCTTGTGTACGTACTCTCATCACCACCCCACTGTCGTTCACCGCGCAGGCTTCGGCGCGACTACCGATCGCTTCGACTCCGCGGGCGGAGGGCCGCCGCCGCCGCCGTCGTCGTCGATGGGTCTGTGCGCGCTCGCACCGATGGCGGCTCGCGAGCGCGTCATGGACATGAGGCAGGAGCTGCTGGACACGCTGGAGGTGGTCGGCAAACAGCTGCCCCCGAACACACTAGACGAGCTCATCGACCTACTGGGAGGACCAGATAATGTAGCAGAGGTGAGGGCTGGGTGTGTGTGTGGGGGGTGGGGTGTGTGTGTGTGTGTGTGCGTGTGCGTGTGCGTGTGCGTGTGCGTGTGCGTGTGCGTGTGCGTGTGCGTGTGCGCGTGCGTGCGCGCGCGTGCGTGTGGGGGCGTGTGTACGTGCGTGCGTGCGTGTGGGGGGATGGAGGGGTAGCATAGACCTGCTAAGAGGGCCTAACAACGTATCCAAACTGCTTGCTAGCAGTAATCACACATAAACTGTGAAACAGTCGATTATAGATGGCGCTGCTGTTGTTGTTGTTTGCTCGCAGATGACTGGTCGCAAGGGTCGGATCGTGAGTCTGGACGACGGAACGGTACAGTACGAGTCTCGCTCTGAGATCGACGTTCCGCTAGAGACACTCAACCTGACGGAGAAGCAGCGCTTCATGGATGGAGAGAAGGTCGGTGTATAATTGGGAGGGGTTGGGTCACAATTAATAAAATCTTTGTTTGCCCTCACCCGACCCAGGCTGAAAAGTTTGGGTAGGTAGGTCGGGTTTTTTTTTTGAGGGCGGGGGTCTTTTTACAAATTCAGCATGGTGTCTACATGCTCGGGTGTGCTTGTGTGGAGATAGCTTTTATGTTGATTGTTTGTTTTGCTTGGTACATATAATGTATTACCTACAGATTTATATAATGTACAGTGATACAATTTGTTAAAAAAGAAAAGAAAAAAAAGGAGATCAATAAAAAATTTTGAGTCGGGGGCCCCTTTTTGGCGGGTCGGTCGGGTGAGGGCAAACAAACAATATTTTTATTATGGCCTTGCTATAAGGTGTTTGTGTATGTACTGCGCTACACCGGGTTCCTCTGTGAGTTATGCTCTCTGTTCTTACTGTTTAATCTAAAGCTGAAATTTGGTTAAAAGCAGCCTGCAGTAACTTGCAGTAAGCCGACGATTATTCAGCTGATCAGATCCATTCAAACTTTTGATATCTACTATTTGTTATCTACTATTTGATATCTACTATTTGATTAGCTACTATTCTAACTGTGTTATCATATGACAAGAGGCTTGCTGTGCTACGTGGTGCTGAGGGATTGGGTCTGTACGATCGCGCCATAGCGAGAGAGTGATGTTCTTGTGTTTGTCGGCAGAACATCGCCATCATCTCGGAGGCTGCGAGTTCGGGAATCTCTCTGCAGTCGGACCGGCGTGCGTTGAACCAGCGGCGGCGCGTACACGTCACTCTGGAGCTACCGTGGAGCGCTGACCGAGCCATACAGCAGTTCGGTATGTGTCCGGCATACAGCCGCGCGCGCTCCGGATCCGGAATCATGCCGGAATCTTGCCGGACGTGCCCGGAATCGTCATGTGCCGTCACCCTCGAATTATTTGGGGTGCAGCCGGACTCGGCTGGCATCGGTTCGGAATCCGTAGGCCAGACATGCCCGGAATCAGGGAGTATTTGACTCCGAACTCGCGTTAATTTCCCACCCTGCATTGTATCCGGAATTATGTGTCCGGAATCAGGCGGGGCATGTCCGAAATCACACGTTGTGCAATTGTGCGATCGTGTTCCTCAAATGAATACTGATGATATCGACAAAGGCAGAGAGATCTAACCGAGAGGATCACTGAAAGAATAACAAACAAAAAGACTAAAAAAAAAACAGCTATATCTGTGTCTCTGTCTCACACTCTCTGTCTCTCTCTCTTTCTCTCGTGCGCATGCAGGCAGAACACACCGGTCTAACCAGGTTAATGCGCCGGAGTACATGTTCCTGATCTCAGAGCTGGCAGGAGAGAGGAGGTTCGCGTCCATCGTGGCGAAGAGGTAATAATGTCGATCTCGCAATTGATACGTGTAGAAGATCTCTTCCATCTCTCTTCTCATTCTTCACCCCCTCTCTCTCCCCCCCGCCCTTCCCCCTCCTCCTCCTCTCTCTCTCTCTCTCTCTCTCTCTCTCTCCCTCTTCCTCTCCTCTCCCTTTCCCCCTTTATCTCTCTCCCTCTTTCTTCTTCATTCTATCTCTCCTTCTATCTCTCTCAGTCCTTCCCTTTCTCCCTCGCGCCCTCCCTCTCCCTCTCCTCCCTCTCCCTCCCTTTATCCCTCTCTCACTCCCTCTCCCCCTCTCTTTCTCCCTCTCTCTCTCCTCCCTCTATCTCCCACTCTCCCCTCTCTCTCCTCCCCTCTTCCTCTCTATCTATCTCTCTCTCTCACTGTGTGGCAGGTTGGAGAGTCTGGGGGCGCTGACTCACGGTGACCGGCGAGCGACAAAGACGCGGGATCTCAGCCGCTTCAACTTCCCTTATCTCTCTCTCCCACTCTCCCCTCCCTCTCCCCTCTCTCTCCCCTCCCTCTCCTCCCCTCTTCCTCTCTATCTATCTCTCTCTCTCGCTGTGTGGCAGGTTGGAGAGTCTGGGAGCGCTGACTCACGGTGACCGGCGAGCGACAGAAACGCGCGATCTCAGCCGCTTCAACTTCGACAACAAGTTCGGCCGCATGGCGCTGGAGAA